TGAATGCAAACTCAGAGAGGCGGATTGTTGAGGATTCAGACACAGAGATTAACTATTTTGTAATACTCGGGAATCCCAATATTGTCCCCAGGCCACATGGGATGTACTGTATGAGTCCTCCAGCTTGTTCTTGGTCTCCTCCAAGATGCTTTTTGTCTTAATTACAATCCGCAGGACGCATCCTCATCAGATTGTTGCACCATTTCATCTGCAATAATGTGTTTCTTTGGTCAGTACCCAGAGCTCATGGTCACAGGTGACGTTTTGTTTTGTAAAACTCAAAGAGCTTCGGACCTCCAGCATGGCTTCCCGGCGTCGTGTAAGCTGAGAGCCAGAACTGAGTCAGAATAAAACGCACGCTGACATTTTGGCCGCATCGAAAGTTCTGGATACCCAGCGGGACGGTAATGAAAGGCCTGAGTGTAGTTAACAAGGGAGCTTATGTAAGAGGGTTGGAGGGCATGAATATAATGGCCACCCATGACCAGGTAATAAGAGGGAACACACACACACACACACACACACTGCGGTTCCACATGCCTGCCAAGCTCTTCCTCTGAGGTCATGCTGTTGAATCACATCCCTCGGATACAATAGCCAACACAGCATATTGCACATAAAGCTTTTGAGTAGATTCATACATGCAACACCTTTAAATAGTTCCTTTATCTCCCTCAGGCCATGATCCAACACACGCTTATCCACAGACAGGTCTCCTAAAGTGCGTGTGTGTGCATGTATGTGTGTGTGTGTGTGTGTGTGTTTGTGTGCGTGTGTGTGTGTGTGTGTGTGTGCAGGAGCACGCCTGTGTCACATCAAGCTTTAGCTGGTAATAAGAGAGACGGATGGTTTCTGCGGTGTAAATTACACACTGACTGAACAGGACAGACTCTCCTCTCTCTCTCTGTCTCTCTCTCTCTCCCTCTCTCTCTCTCCCTCTCTCTCTCCCTCTCCCTCTCTCTCTCCCTCTCTCTCTCCCTCTCTCTTGTTTTCAGTCGTACGACCAACCTGAATCTTGCACACAGATATTCACACACACTCAGAAGTTTACATGTTAACAGAAGGGTCTCCGTGTGATGAACCTCAGGAACACGTGCAGCGATCTAAAGAAGTGAAACACTTGATCTCTTCAACATGAATAACTTTGACCTGCCCGCCGCCAAACATGAGTCAAAGACGTGTCAGTCATCAGAGGGACATGGGGTGGAGGTGTTGATGGGGGGTGATGTGCTTTTAAAGGTCACGGCAGAGCGTCCGCCTCACCCTCTCATGAGTCCTTCCATGTTCACTGTCTCATCTAAGAAAGGCTGAACGTTGTTACGCAACATTATGTAAAGACGTTTACTACGGTTGCTTACAAATCTTATGTTACGTTGTTATCAAAGCTCAGAAAGAGTCAATTTTGGTGAATAATTTGTCCAATGCTGTTTTTAAATTTGTTTTGTATGTAAAGATACTTTTTTTTTCACCCAACGAATATGTTCAAGATATCATATTCAAGCCATCTAAATACTGATATTGTGCTCCTCATCTTCAGAGCCTTCACGCTTTAACGGTAGCCTCCAGATGTACGTCCCCGTATGAAGGGATCCCCGAGGAGCATCCCGGGGTTCCCCTGTTGGAGCAGGAGAAGAGGATTCAAAGCAGCTTTTTGACGTGGATGAGAGCGTTGGTGGTGAGGACAAAGAGCGAGATGAAAGTTAGACCTCATCCGTTCAGCAAAGGTCAGACTCGTGTGCCCTCCCACCCACCTTCACCGACGCACACATGAAAGGGACACAAATACAAAAGCATGACGCTTTCAATGAGTGAGAGAGACTGAAGCGTGAATGTGTTCCTGTGTGCGCATCAATGCATATCTACCTGTTCCTATAAGGACTCGGTACGTCCTTTGATCTCAGAACTGTCCTGAAGTGCAGTACTTATGTACTTTCAATGTTCCTCTCCTCCACTGTTGATTGTTTCTGTGATTTAGTAAAGTGTGTATTATCGTGTGTGTCGGGTGTGTAAGCTGTAGGCTTTAGATGAGAGGAAAGGTTTCATAATGTTGGAAGCTTTTACCCAAAGTTTAAACACTGGCCAGCTCTAAACGCCGAACGGCAAACTTTGGTAAAGATTGTGTCATGCTTTACTCAAGTCAGAATGGATAGATCATGGATAGATTACTGAATGGTCCTACTTGACACAACGGGCCGGAGCTTCTGGTTGAAGTCACTGCGGATGTTTCTTGTTGAGATTTCATTAAGACACGCAAAATTACCAAAAAGAGACAAAAAACAACTAGAAAGAGACTCTAAATGACTATAAAGAGATGTACAACTGCAAAAGGCCAACGAGACGCCACACGGCTACAAAGATATGTCTCTTTGAATCTGCGGCTCATCTTAGGAGGGGGGCCGTTACAAGTCTGTGCCCAGGGGCCCATTGTCTCATACTTGGTCCACGGATGCAGTCGTCGTCTCTCGAGCAGCAGAGCAACACCCAGAAACAAAGCGACTCTTCTCTCCTTTGAATGTGCATTAGTTCTCTGTCGCGTCTGGTTTTCTGGACTCACTCTTAATGAAGCGTTGCATTCCTTCTGGCAGAGCGATGAAGTCATGCGTCGGCTGCCTCTGATAATCAGCCGTCACATTCACACCAGTCACCCGCAGCGCTGACCTCATTGTTCCACCACCGCCCCTCAGCCCCAGCCAGCATTACTGACTGTGACTTCACATGTCTCTGCCAACACAGCCTGAAGGGTTCATGGTTTGTGTCGTGAACGCACAGTGAAGTTCACACAGACACATGTGCATGGATGGACATGCACAAATACATTACAGTCATTTAGCAGACGCTTTCATCCAAAGCAACTTACAATTATCTATCATATTTCTACACTGTAGGCACAACTACGGGAGCAATTTTGGGGTTAAGTGTCTTGCTCAAGGACACATCGACATGCAACTAGCAGAGCCAGAGTCGGGGATTGAACCGCTGATTGAAAGACGGCCCTGCTATCCACTTAGCCATAGTCGCCCACTAATACATGTTTTCATGGTCGCAAACACATGAAAAGCACACAAATGCACACACACACACACACACACACACACACACACACACACACACACACACACAGATCTTCTCTCCTGTTCTCACGTTGCTGGAGGTCCTAAATTCTTCTGAGCTGCGCCTGCAGATTTACGGGTATTTAGATGTAAAACCTGTGAAACAAACACAACCTGACATGTTTCTCTGTTAAACGAGTCTGTTCCTCTAGAGTCCCATAACTTTACCACGCTGTTATATTCTGAGGGTTTCAGCTCGGTGGAAACGATCCAGCTGCTTCCATCACTTGGGACACGGTTGTGAAATAAGATGCAAGTCAGTGATACTTTGCACGTATGAAACGAAGGACCCGTGAGGTCATCATGCCTGCTTTGCAGTGCAGCATAAGTGCTTCACCACAGCTGCAGATTGTGTGTCAGAACAACAATAGCAGTGAATGTTACCAGGGTTCCTGTGCAGGGAGGTGCATGCTTTCAGAGTGGGTCAGCAGTGAAGCGTTAGGGAGGGAAACACGGCTAATTGCTGTTTTGACATAAATTCAGGAGAGGGATGGACGTATCAGGCGTGACCTCATCGACAGAGAGCTACGAGCTGGCATGGGGATTCTCCCTTATCGCCCTTATGAAAACAAAAGCAAACTTTACTGTTGCCATGAGGGCCGCTGAGGGCCTGAGGGTGTGAGAGACACCTGCAGCGCCAGCAGCAAGAAAAACAAACAACCAAATACTCCAGGAACTCGTAAAACAGAAACGAGTTCTGTGTGTCAAACCGGTCTTCAACAAGTAGCCGTACTGGTTCCTGAGAGGCTCGCCAAACATTACAGGAGAGAGACTGGCTGACATCGTGCAGCCGGACCAGGTGAGTTGAATCCTGCTGATGACCTGACTCTGCCCACCAGCCTCCTGGAGGGGGGGGGGTCCATCGGGCCGATCAGGACCAAAGAGTTCTTTACAAGCTGCTGAGATTTCAACATTCCACCAACACATCATTTAGTTCAGTAAAACAGACTTTTAGTTTGTCCGAAACCTGAGAATGTGACTTGCATACTATTTCCACACTCCAAGTATTATAGTATGCAAACACGTGACACCACGCCGGCATACATATCCCACAATGCCATGCGATAGTGACGGCACCGTTCATAACAGACGATGGCAGACAGCTCTGTAACGCTCTGTATTCAACTCCTCTGGTTTAACATGGTGTATGTGTATCATGTAACCCAGGGGAGACCGGAGGTGTTGGGGGGTCCGGTGTTGGCTATTTAAGACTCTTTACAAACATACATGTGGGAGGTTAGAGGAGCCTGCAGCTGCTCCAACACTGTCAGCCTCACTGGATCCCTCCAGTCTGACGGAGCACAAACAGCACCAGACGGCCTCGTAAAGGAACCTGTGAACTGGGAATGTTTTACGGGAGACATTCCCATGATGCAACAGAGGCTGTGTTTGGATTACATCACCTAGACTGCTGAGCAACCTAACCCTCCCTGAGGAACATCATGTAGCTAACAACATGTAGGTCTTCATGCCTGCTGGAACATGAGGAGAATAAGACACACCGGGGTATAAATCTGACGTCTATAGTTCAGCTGGTTTTGAAATCCAACAATGTGTTTTCTAAAAGTATCCGAGTCTTGTTGGACTCTGAGCGAATGGTTTTCAAAAAGGATTATAAAGGTTAAAGAAACAAATCAAAGTTGCTTCTTGTGTCCGTTCTATTCTATTTCTACGGTTGTTATCTACGACGGCTCGACGCCACCAAGTCCTGCACTGTCCCTTTAAGAGCCTCAAAGAGCACTTCCCACCAAATCTAATAGCTTATGCTATTAATGTTCAACTCCTTGATGCAAGTGTCTCTGCCTGAACGACATCTGTAGTCCCGTCATGCAGAAACACTGCGTCCACACACGTAAAATAATAAGAATAAATTCAGTTTAAACCACAAAGTCGTTTCCCAAGAGCAACATTTATTAAAATCAATGACATTTTGGTCTCGTGAGCGTCGGACATCAAATGTACACAATATACAGATGGTGCGTTTCATAGCAAATATACTTTCTATAGAGACAGCAGCAGCAGAATGTAGAAAAATACACTTTTGATTTTCTCACACAACACAACATACCGAAGTAACAAGGTAATATATTTATATATATATTTATATATTTCTGTATCATAAATATGCAGAACTATACACACAATTCACTGTAATGGAGACAACAAGTATACTATTAATAATAGAGGATAAAAGGACGTTTTGAGAGCATTTAACACGACGATGACCTTATTGCAGTGAGTGATGCGGTGTGGAGAAGTCTAGCTCACAATAACACTGTTAATACTCGTGAAGAAGTTTGTGCTCAGAATATATTATCTACAAGTATTTACACACTTCATCAGCCAATCAATGAAGAGTGAAATAAGGTTATTTACTGCTCAGAGTCACCTCAGAGACATCTGCACTGGAGCAGAAATATCATCAAGTGATGGAAAAACATACAACAGTTAGAGCAACTGTGAATTCAACACGCACGCACACACACACACACACACGCACACACACACGCACGCATGCACACACACACACACACACACACCCACTCAATGGCACATGTTTTCATGTTTTCTCACATTCCTGCTCAGGACACGTGACTTTCTTTTATGCGCACACATCGATCACCCCCCCCCCCCCCGAAATAACCCAGAGCTACAGAGGACAACGCTGTCTGCTGTGTGTCTGGAAACTCGGCTCGTGTGAATAAATACCGGCTCTATTGATTCACTGATTCAAACAAACGCTTCACAGAACATGTTTCACTTTACAGACGTCATAACAAGGTGTTTTGTTGAATATGCACGTCGGTCCTTGAACTGTCCTCCTCTGGCTCATCACATCACAGGAGTCATGGGAGGAGCTTAAAGTCATGTTCATAGTATTCGCATGAGGTTACAGCAGCCATCGGGACCGAATGGGCAGAACTAAACGTCTGTGTCCCCTGAGACATGTGGGACATTGAGGAGCTTCTTTCTGCACAAGAACAATGAGATGGAGTAAAATAAAATGCATGTTTTACGTCCAATTTTTAATAAAATGTTTAGCTGTAAAAAACTGACTACAACAATGTGTCACGGATTTGATTTCGCACCAGTCTTTAAAAATAATCTTTTTAAAAAGCTTCCAGAGAATGAAATAAAAGGCTTCTTTTTCCTTTTTACTTTCATTTCTGAAGAACTCCTCTTCCTTCATTTTGCCAGAGAGAAGTATTTCTCAGAGGAACCGTGAGAGCAGCTCTCATGTTTGTTTAGGGATCCAGATGTGCAATTAAACTGTTTCTTCACATCTTTCTGCAATGAATTCACAGAATCAGCCGTCACGACTCAGTAAATGATTATCGGAGGATCCCAGACTGCTTCAAAGCAACGTGACTGTCTCACACACATGAGAGAGCTTCAAACTTAACATACAAAAAGAAATAAGAATCTTTCAATCTAAACGTTTGTCACAATGTTCTGAGGAATCACAAACGATGGAAGGAGGTGAAACGTGGAAGCAGGAAGTCCATCTATACCTTTTATAATCTCAAACCTCGGATGCACCACAACAGTAAACTGCAACCCCGTTATGTACAGAGCTAGAAACAGAAAAGAGTTCATGGGGAAATAGAATCACATCAGCAATGAAGACCGTTTACAAGTGAACACAGTCAGTCTTCTTATCTACACGTACGACTCTTCTGCAAAAAACAGCTGGTCGAAGTCGTCCACTCGCGGGTCGCTGCACCGCCTGCTCCGCCACTCCCTCTTCCCCTGCACGATGGCCAGCGCCACCTCCTGACTCCTCCGCAGGCAGGAGTCCGCATCCTCCTGCCCCTGGGAGGAAAAGTAGTCCCGCACGGCCCGGGTGGCGGAGGGAGACAGGCAGAAGCGTGGCTCGCCGTGGTTGGGCTCCACCTCGGACACCCGCAGGCCGCCGTCTTGGGACTGACCTTTGGAGGTGCGAGGTCTGCCCAGCGTGAGGCTGGAGGAGGCGTTGGAGCTCGCGGTGACCTCAGCGGGTTCGGATGCTCGGCGGGGGAGGGTCTGGCTCCCTTTGTGTCCCTCCATGGACGGAGTTAGAGGGTTTTGCCTCCGGAGGACCAGAGCGGTGGCGTTCTGTCCGAAGAAAACACCCTGTGGGGGCTGCACCCACTCGTTTCTGGCTAGACGCTGCACAACATCGCTTCCTGTCTGGGAGTCTGGGACCGGGGCTCCGTGGGTGCAGGTCTGGTCGTGGATCTGCCTCAGCTCTCTGATCGTGAGGGGTTTCTCTGTGCCCTTGTAGAAAGGAGAGCGGTTGCGCTGCAGCTGCATCAGAGCCTGCTGGTAGGACGGAGGGCTGCTGGATCTCCGTCGGCAGTTTCGGTTCGTGGCCGCGGCGTCCTGGAAGCCGTTACTGGTCGGGAGGCTTTTCCCGTTTACCACCGGCAAGTCCTCCTCTGAGTGTCCGTTATCGGACTGTCTCAGGGACAAGCGGCGGTCCTTCTTGAACCACGTGTTCGGGTGGAGACCGTGTTGGTGTGGGGGGGTGTGGTTGGTCCGCGGTGTCTGGGAGGGCGGAGGCCAATGAGGCGGGGCTTCCCTCTGAGGGGGGGAGTCTCTGGTCGACAGCTGGGGCTGTCCGTGGAAGAGAGGGGAGAGAGGAGTGGGCTCAGCCAATGGAAGCGCCCCGTTGGTGGCGTAGTCAGTGGAGTACTGCGAGAAGGCGGAGTCTAAAGAGCTGAGGGAGGAGCCTGTGGGTGAGGTCGCCGGTGACGACAGACTGGAGCAGCTGGCATCCAGCCGCAGCGGAGGCGGAGGGGCGTGCTTCGTCTTCCTCCGCCCGCCGTTCTGGACTTTGGCTCCTCCCTTCTCGCATCCGTCCTCTTCCTCCTCCTTCAGCTGCAGCCCGCTCAGCCTCTGCTCCAGGAACACCTCGTCCCCCCCACCCGCCTCCATGGCGTCATCGTAGCTCGCCTTCCTCACCGGAAGGTGGTGTTTATCGGCGTGAACAGCCATCGTGCCCGAGGACGGAGCACTCGCCAGGGCCAAGGCGGGCTCCGAGCTCCTCCTCAGCCTCCGGGGGCCCTGCGACGGCCCGTTGGCCTGGCGGGTGCGCGGCTGTCGGACCGCCGGGTTGAACCTCCGGGTTCTGGCCAGCGGGGGGAGCTGGAGGAGGAGGTCGCCGTCGTGATCCGGTTCGGGGTCGCAGTCGCTGAGGGTGATGACGGAGTCGCGGCTGCGGCTGTCCGGCTTGTCCTTGTCGCGCAGGGGCGGCTGCTCCTGGAAGGGAGACTCGGGGTCGTCGTTCAGCTCGTTCTCCAGACTGTCGTAGGACGAGTCGTTCATCTGGAAGGACGACACGTCTGGGACGAGACAGGTGGGAAAGGAAAGACAAGAGAGGGGGACAGATGGAGAAATAGATTATTATTATTATGAGTCAAGTGGAATCACCAAATCAAGATCCAGAGAATTCAATCCAAAAATATAGTCTTTACTTCCAGTCTAACTTTACCGTCACATTTCCTGTAAAGTCCTCAAATTATACAGCTTTAGCAGACATGTCCTCTCATGCATGCATCCTGCAATTTTCCGCCTACTAGCTACCAAAATTAGCAATCCGAGCTGAGACAAACCAAACATTTATTTCCACAAAATGTTCTCTTCTCTCTGCTGAAAGCACAGAGGACAGAGCGCCTGCACTCCTTCACCTCTGGAGGTTATTTATAGCTGCTTATGAAGGAGGAGATTCAGATCAGCTGGCTGTGACCCCGGCAATCAGTGAAACCATCTGCTGACCCCAACCAACGGGCCTGAAAGAGCCGAGGTCGTCTAATCACACACACGGGGAGAGAGTCTCTCTGAAGACACCTTGTTGTAATATTGTTTTATGTTCTAACACACTGAAGCTCAGGAGCTGTTGTTCAATCATCGATGTTTACTTTCTGCTTCTCCTTTACTTCCTAACCTGATGTGTTCAACCAAAAAGCTTTTCCAAATCTCACACATTTGATAAAAGTCCAGATCTGAGGACGTTTCTCAGCGTTCCCCCCCCCCCCAGCGCCCCCTACAGGCAACAGGAAGCTACAGTCAACACACTTTGGCTCGCTGCTCTGAGTAGCTTCACCTCAAACGATGCTACACTGCGATGCTTTGGAGCTTTTATGGAGCGTCATTGTTGTCGGTTGAGTTCTGCTCATTCATTGCGTGCATTCGGACATCTTTAAAACACCTCTCAGACTCTCAGACTCCTCTCCTCTCACCTGATCCGTGGTCGCTGCTGCTGCTCTTCTGGCTGAAGCTCCTGAACAGCGACGGGACGTCTTCTCCCAGGACGGCGCTGCAGTTCTCGATGAGGAAGTGAACCAGCTCGCACACCTGCAGGGAGGAAGAAACACCGCCTGGTTTAGAGCTGCTGACCCTTTCTTTGTGTTCTTCATGGCTGGAGGAGCAGATTTGAAATAAAGACCCAACCCCAGTGTCCCCCCAAAGGCCGTAAGCCCTGAACCCTCAGGGTCCAACGTCGTGAGTCCCATATCTTCATCCTGAGAAAGGTTTTGTGTTTGTTCATTTGCCCTCCAACTACTCGAGTATTTGCATTCCAACAAGACATCAAACTCTGGGTCCTGGACATCGTCCTGATGATAATATATGACATCATGTACTGGCTTCCAATGTTTTGTTGGAAGACCAACACAGAGAAACGGGAGTTTGTGACAGTAGCTAAGTCTGCTGACATGATGCACATGACTTCTATTCATCATCATATTCAGGAACAAACACCCCAACGACACATCGTCTCATGCCACAGAGGGAATAACACATCCTTCAAATATGAACTGTTTTCTTAAAGAGTCGGTTTGAAACGTGCCGGCTTTACTTCTAAGAGATCTTTTAAACTAAACACACTGAATCTACTAAACACACACTCGTGACGCGCTCCGACACAAACAGCCTGCGGGGCCACTCGGAGACGTTGGGAGTCACATCCTCCTCCACTCGTGGAAACTTTCCACCAGAATCCGTCCGTCGGGTTCATGAATGTTTTTTTGCTGCGACACTTTTGGAAAACACGGCAGAGACAAACACGCTCTGTAGGGCCGCCATGTTTGCCAGATATATATTTATATGACTAACAGCACACAACCAGGCTGCACGGGGAAGAGTTTTCTGCTCATTATGAAATCATAAAAGTCTTTTTTATCTACGAGAAATGAAGTAATCTGAAATGTTTTGAGAATTTTCCAGTATAAAGTGTCATTTGTCTCTTTTCTATCGATAAACTGTGAAGAACAAGTTGATTTATATTTGAACCAGGTTGTTTCAGAGCACTGTGATGTTCTTTGTCACGTGTTTGAAGGAATAAAAATAGACAAATTTGGGATTAAAAATATGAGAGGAAAACATTTCAGCTGACAGACGATGGGAGATGAGAGCTGTTGCATAACTACAGCAGGCTCAGCTAATCCCTTAACAAGTGTCACCAGAGAGCAACTGCAGCACTAACCTCCAGGTTTCACAGATATGTACTCATGATGAGAGGCCTGAGGCCACATTGGATTATGGGTAATGTTGAGCTCTTCTATCCATAACAGTTACACTTACATAAGCAAACATGAACGAACAAATGTCTCATCTATCTGTGATCCTCCCTCGCTGCCTCCAACATGGCCGACACCACTAGAGTCTGCAGGTATCTGGAGGCATTGAGGGGGGGTGAGCGTAGCCGGTCGTCTCTAACACAATGAACCTGTTTGTGATCACAGAGCAGATGCGTGTTCCTGTCTCTGTGACATCCGGCTGCTATCAGTGCACGAGGACATTCTGTCTCATTCCTGAAGAACAGCACGTCATCTGACATGTTAACTAGTGTTTATGAATCATTATACCCTGAGCTAGGTGAATACTCAACTCTGATTGGCTGCAGGGTGTCCATTGATTCCTGATAAAGGAAACTGACTAAGTAGTTTAAGTTAAACTACTAGCGGCTAGCTACCTTGCTACCTCCACCATGCTTTCATGCTGCACTGGCTCCTCCTCCTCGTCGCCTCTTCACCTCTCTCATTCTTCCTCCTCTCGTTAGTTTTCCTTCTCTACCACTCTCTCTTTCATTTAGCCTCCTTGTCCTCCTTCAGTCACTCAGTCAGCATTCCACTCAGACAGGAGCTGCTGCGTGACACAGAGCTCAGCTACAAAGAGCCTTCGGGCATCCAGGAGACGTTCACCCATCCATCAGCAGCCCGTTCACAGCGGCTTCTCCCGCCTTCTGTCACTCAATAGGATGTTAAACTCGCTCTCAACCTGAGTGGACTTCTTTTAAAGCGGCAGAACCCGACAGCACTGCAGGATACGTGCAGCGTTTATAGACCATCTGCACGTGTGCACGAAGGTAAAGTCACAGCCGTGTGTCAGTGGAACACATGCATCCAGCAGGCTGCAGAGAAAGACCATCGAGCTGCATGTCGATCACAAAACAAGTGAGAAAGTCACTGTGATTAAGACTAAAACACAAAGCAGGAGTTGGGTCCACATTTGGAGAACCTTCTCTCTGTCTCCATCTAAAGATGTATTCACCTCCTAAACATCCACGTTCAGCCAAAAACATTTCATCATACACTTCATGAAAGAAGGAGGGACACGGAGACTGAACTTAATTGGCTAAAACCGAGCGTTTACGTGTCTCCAGATAAGGTTGGAAAGCAGCCATTACACAGCCAAGAACCCACGTTCACTGTAAACTGCCCGACCGCAGCGAGGGAAATGTCGAAATCCCACTTTGTTATTTTTCCCAGAAAAAAAAAGCCGCCTGCGCTCAAGTCTGCACACACAAACACGCAGTGTGTGTGAGAGGGAGAGCGCTATCAGGGGAGTGTTTGCCAAAGAGAGATTTTGGTATTTGTGGGTATTTGTTCTGACGAGTGTGTGTGTGTGTGTGTGTGAGAAGAGAGAAAGAAAAGGCTGTTTCGGCAACACAATTTTCCCTAAAACACACACTCGACCTCAGAATTCTGTAGGAAATTCTTTGCATGTTTTCTCAGTGAACCTCAACCACCTCGAGCACACACACACACACACACACACACACACGCACACACACTCACACACACACACTGGAGAAGATAAGCAAAGCAGCCACACACAGAGAGTGTGTGCAGCGCAAATACTGTAACCTTCCAAACAGACCACAAATCAGAACGCTTTGTGTGTCTCAGTGAATACATGGCGGTGGCTGAAGGGGGCTTCCACTGTGGGATGAAGTCATCTCAGGTAAGCTGAAGTTATGATGGAGAAGAGAGAGAGAGCAATGAGGCTCCTCTCAGTCCACTCATCCGTCGTTCTGGTCTCAGTCGACCTACGCTTTCTTTACTCCAGCCGACGTTTTTAATGTTTTTCCAGATTAATGACTTATTTCCAAGAAACTTATGAACACATCTCTGGTACACACAGGATCTGAAGTGGTAGTTTTGTGTGAGTGTTAGTCGACGAAGAACTTCTTTGGTCGAGGACTGCGCTAGATCACTACAAACTTGTACTATCTTAACTCCACTCATTGATCAGGACACCTCAGACATACATGTATCTCTGTGCAACGGTTCTGCAGTTATTTTCAGTAAAAACTCAAAGATTCACGTAAAATAGATCCGACACATCGTCTCAACAGCCGAGTGAATAAAGGTGAAAGCACGGCTACACCTATGTAACTATTAATATTATCATTATTACTAACTATTCTGAGGGTGACCTAATCCTCTAAGTGGTAAAACAGATACTTATGTGTTCACGAGGGCTTGGCAGTAAGTCAGCGTGAAACCGTAAAGCCGTGTCAAGTCGTGCTCTAAGCTCGCGGATTTTAAGCTCAGCAGAGTAAGAATGTTGTGATCTTACTTTGTCAGCGATGACATGCGAACGTGACTGAGTGTGTGTGTGTGAGACTGGTTTAATGTGTGTGTGTGTGTCTGTGTGTTAGTGGGTCAACACACGTCCGCAGGGGAACTGTCTGCTGACAAACGGCTGAGATTGTGTGTGCATGTGTGCACGTACGAAATCTCAATATCTTACCTGTCTGTCAAACTCTCGTCTGTCTGTCTGTCTGTCTGTCACACCATGCACAGAGACACGTACACACTCACGTTCACTCTCTAACACACACACACACACACACACACTCACCTTTAGCACCCCACCCCGCCCCCTCCGTATGTTTGTGGTTTTGTTCAGTTTGACATTTTGCTTTCTTTGCAAAAGTGATGAGAAGATTGACACCGCTCTCATATACTTTAAGCTTAGTTTAGCGTAGCTTAGCTTAGCATAAAGAGTGGAAACAGTTAGCCTGGCTCCCTCAAAAGTTGACTAAATCTGCCCTACTAGCATCCTTAAAACATACAGATGTCCAAGTTTAACGAGGGGTCACGTTCGGGACTATTTCTTGGCATTTAACGTGTTAGTCGGTGAGCCGGTAGTCAGATTTTGAAGCCTTTGAAACACCTTCTCTCCAGTCTAAACTGAGCTATGGAATTTATTTGATTAAATTAGGAAAATAACCAGCAGATTAATCAATAATGAAAACTAGAAAAGTGTGTGTCTTCCTCTTCACTCCCAAATGAAGAGGAGTTTAATCTCTCTCCATCTCTCAAAGATGGTGGTGAAGAACAGAAACAGGGATCCATCCGTCTTGTGTCAAACCCTGACTGTCAGTATGGAATGTAACACGGAGATGCTCCGCTTCAAAATGAGGCCAAACTTTTTTTTTAGCCCCGACAAAAGGTCAAAATGTGTCCCGACAGACTATTTGAGTCCTGACTTTAGGACCGGGTGATCGACAGAAAGGCCTTTTGCTGCTGAAGCAGCTGTCGATCACTTTAAGAGTGAGGAGTCAGCGGTTACAGACGGTAGAATTTAGTCAATAAAACAACTGAACGCTGAATAAAACATTATTAGTCGACCGAAATGTTGCAATTAACTTTGATTTGAAGTGGAAACACTGTGAAAGGGTTAAAGTTGAAAGACGATAACACGGACAACACCGTGGTAGAGACCTGTCAATCACAGTGTAGCCCCGCCCTAAAGCATCCCC